GGTTTTCAGTAGGAGAGTGTTATACACCGGTATTTTAGAGTGACAGGTGTAGAGTAAACACAGGTCGGCACATTCCTTTATACCCTGCACTGAAACTCCACTTCATAGATAAGTCTGTGTGATCTGCCGCACCACTATCAGTCCCAGAGATATTTCATATGTAGAATACGAGTTCTGATTACATTTGCTTCAATGTTTGGTCATAGAGCTTAAAGTGTGTACCCAGTTTTGCAGTCAGATTGGGGTAACACCTACTTTAAAATTGTTACATGTTCCCATTCACATTGCAAAAATTTAAATTTCTTAATGTTTACCAAAATGAACCCTTTCTGTACTGTGCTGGCAGATCTCATTATATACAAGTGTAGTCACATCACCGTACTTGCAGTCCATTCATTCTTTCTCCCAAGGGAGAATCTGCAGGAGCCAGAGCATTGCACCCTTGATCCATTGATCACTGTTACAATGCTTTACTGGCTCCTATGTAAAAAAAACTTATAATGCACATGTTTTTCTTTTATGAAGAAGTGTGCATTTACCGTATTTATTTTGTTTAGAAAAGGTTGAATTTCCCTTTAAAATGTATCTGAAGCCAACCCTTTTTTTTTTTTAGTGACAACTCTTGGTCCTGCAGTAACTCGTGTATTTCAATACCCTGCATTGTGGTAAAAAAAAGTAGTGCATGTACTACTGGTATTGTGGTCCCAATGTTGCGTTGCGCTGCACTACAATGCATGGCCTTCAATGGGGTGCCATTCAAATGAATGGCAATGCAACAACCTAGCACACTGTATCACATGCTGGGTGCACTGTGTGATAGTGTGTGTTAAATGCATGATTTTGCTCATTTAACCTAACACCATGCTGTGAAAGGGCCCTAAAAGTAAGGGAAAGTCCAACATTGTGAGTTGTCACCAGAACCTTTCATATTTTATCCAAAACTTTAAAAAAAAGTTTTGGTTTTGACACATTTAAATGAACCCAGTGACATCTTATTGTATCGCTGGTTTCATTTAAATGTATCTAAAACCAGATATTTCTCTCTCTGTTCTGTTCCTGTTCTATAGGCACAGAACAAAGAGTGAACGATATGCGCCTACATGCAGTTTCTGTGCAGTTTATAGGTGGCAGTATTCCCTTGTTATCCTGGCGTAGATGGTGAGAAATTTAGTGTTCCCTAATATTGGTGGTCAGTACAGCAGCCCCTTAAACTGGTGATCATTGAAATGCTTCCTTACAATTGTGGTTATTGGCAGAAGGGTCCCCTTACACTAGTATTCAGTTGGAGAAGGACCCTGTTATACTGGTGGTCAGTGGGAAGAATGCCCTTTACATTGGTGGTAATTGGGAAGAATGCCCCTTACACTGGTGGTCAGTTGGAAAAGGGCCCCCCTACACTGTAGGTTAGTTGGAGAAAGACCCTATTATACTAATGGTCAGTGGGAAAAAGGCCCTTTACATTGGTGGTCAGTTGGAAAAAGACCCTATTATACTAGTGGACAATGGGAAAAATGCCCTTTACATTGGTGGTCATTGGGAAGATTGCCCCTTATACTGCTGGTAAGTAGAAAGAATGCCCTTACACTGGTGTCCAGTTTGAGAAGGGCCCACAGTCAGTACAGATGTTGTTATAAAGCTTAAATTGTTGGTCAGTTGGAGAAACGTTCTCTTATACTGGTGGTCAGTGAGAACAATGCCCTTACATTGGTGGTCATTGAGAAGAATGCCCCTTACACTAGTGGCCAGTTGGAAAAAGGCCCACAGTACAGATTGTGTTGCAATACAATACAGCTTACACTGTTGGTCAACTGGACAAAGGCCCTATTATACTGGTGGCCAGTGAGAAAAATGCCCTTACATTGGTGGTCTTTGGGAAGAATGCCTTCCACTGGTGGTCAGTGGAAAGAATGCCCTTCCTACGGTTTGCTAAAAAGATCTCTGGTGTCAGTGGTTACTTAGGTGAGAGGCAGTAAATGCTGACAGCTTAAGGAACCCCTATTAACCACTGGTGGAACCCTAAGGTTGCACAGAACCCTGGTTGAGAAAGGCTGCCTTATATGCTCACAACAAAACAAACAGGAGTATCTTGTATAAATAGTTTTACTTATAAAACATTTTTAACAATTTGTAAAATAGAAAATATTGTACTCTCCAAAACTTTATCACAAAAGTAAAAATACAATGGCAACCTTAAGTTACAGACACGTTTTATATTACATTTTATTTTACAATTAAAACATACTTACAGCACATAAATAGAAGATAGCCTGGGCTGTTACTACAATCATGTTATCTGTCAAGCAGCAGCATTTCGTCCATGGAAGTGTTGAAATAAGATGAATAGTATTAGATGAGTAGAAGAAAATGATACATTTTATCAGAGCAATGAGTGATTCTGAAATATGTGTAGGTAGTGTGACTTATAACGCATGTCCTTCATTTAAAGATAGCACTGGCGGTAATCCATCACTGAAGATAATTAATCGGCAGGATAACATAAGCAGTTATTAAGTATAAAATACATCCAGTTGGCATGAAATCCCACCCGCCATGTTGTCGCATATATGTATTACGCCAGCAGGAAATGGTTAAATGTTACCTGTGCCCAAAAACTAAACAAAATACATTTTGGATGGAGTAGAAAAGCCATAATCAAGCCCATAAATAGGATAGACTAATTCAGATCTGCAGAATAAGCACTGTCATGGTCCCACATTGCTACCTATGATTCTAGCCTGTGCAGAATGACAAAACTGTATTGCCCATAGCCGTTGTCAATAGTATTTGATTATGAGAGATGGCTGTTGGTACTGTGCAATCCAAACTTCTGCCACTACTCCTGCATACTAAATACACGATGAATAAATGTCTTTCACTCCCTATACACCTTAGGACTGGCATCACAATAAAATGTAAAGACACAACATGTCATAGAAGTCTTGGAGTCCTGTTCCTGCTGAGCTCCTGTCTTGGTGATGGCTGGTGAAGCTAGATACAATGCCAATTGAAACATCTAGAAAGTCTTAGAAGAACTGTCCTTACCTTCAGTAGAGAAGAACATAATTCATACTTGACCTAAACAGTTCTTCTTTAAGACTCTTCTGACTAAATCGGGGTCTAATGTAAGCAACTTGATTACAACCAATTAGAATTCATATTTTATCATTCAGAAGAAATGATGGTTATGCACAGCATATATTAGTTATACTAATTTAATGGAAAAGTCCTAACTGTTGCCCTTAGCCCCCAGTTAACCCCTCCCTTTCATTGTCTTACTTGCTCTACATGGATGAAAGGTACAACCTGACTGGCCGCTATGGCAATACAAACAGAGACATTTATCCATGGGTTTTGTGAACCTCATACAGTGTTTTCTATGAGAGTCATACTTCTCAGGCAATAATAGCTGTTAGACATAGAGAGCTGAAGTTTGCTTTCTATTATACAATGGCTTAGTTTTGCAATGGATGCCTCCCTTCCATATGGGCAAGTGGTGCAGTTTAATACAGGTATACAGAGTCCAGCAATGCATTCATTCTAATACTGGTGAATACAGGCTTGTGTTATGTGCAACCAATCTGAGCAGGGATTCTATTTATAAAGTGTACCTGTCATCCGTCTACAATTTCATTTGGCCAGTCCAATATTTTAGAGAATGGGACTAAATAATGAACTAGTCTATGGTAACCAGTGAATTGAGCATCTGGTTACTGGTACTTTAAGGCTTAGTCTGTCATCAGTCAGGCCTTGATTTTTGATCTATACTAGTAAAAAAAAAACAGATGAATACAGAAGAATTCCATAATTATATAAAATAGTTTTAGGGAATCAAAGTCTGAGGTTCCTTTGATGGAATACTGGCCAGAACACTATGTGCATTTAGGTTGCATGTCCTCCTGGTACTCAAGGTATTCCAATTTCCTCCCACACTTATGCTGGTAGGTAATTGCCTGTTGTCTAAATTGGACCTAGTATATGTGTGAGGATCAAAAAACCCAACAGTAGCCTCCCATGGCAGAAACTGGTAACACTCTGTTGAGCGGCTAATTCACCACAGGTACACACTTCAGGCATAGAGCCACAGGAAAAATAAGGTTCCAAGGCTAAAAGATCTCAATGCGGTCATAGTAGTAGAGATGGGGTCCGAGGTATGTTGCACATGCAGTAGTTCACTGATAAGTAAGATTACTGTCCAATTTCTCAGTATCTAAATTAGGGCCAGTGTCAATCGACTTTTATTTGCTTCAGAACTACTTTTATACATATACAAGTCAAAGAGAAAGCAGAAGTTGCTCAAAGCAGGTTAATGCAGCTTAGAAGCAGGTCAGCTGCAAATCAGGTGCTCAACTTCAGGTCTAATGCTTGTCAACTGTGATCTTAGAATCATCTCAAACTGATTTCAAATGCAAGCAGAGTGCATTTAAAAGCAGCCTACATTTACCCATTGACACAGGCCCAGACCCTATCAACGCAGACCCTTAATGCTATATTGTTTCAAAAAACTACCTGCAATGCAAGGCACATATAAGTGCATTTTATATTAACACCACCCAAATATCACCATCCCCAGCAGTAATATACCTTTCAACACACTACACCTCTAACACTTGTATGTAGTATAGACTTTCAGCTCTGTATCTTGTGCAATCACAAGAATGTAGACAGAAAACTGCCACAGGGATTGATGACTTTCCATCGTGCCTGACATGGAGGAGGACAAGGGGAAGAGGTATATTTGTAAGGTGTTAATATAAGGTGTGCTTATCCTTTTCTAGCTTTCTGCTATACAGTTAAAACAGAACTCATCAGAATCGCTGACTTTCAACTACTGATTGCTTGTTAATGATCACATGATCACATAGATTTAAAAATCTTCTCTGCAACACTGCAGTCTTGCCACATGCAACAGATGTATTTTAAATAATGTAATAACCAGGTGTATAGTGCTGTTACCCTGAAACCATAATGAGTATTGTTCACCTCCTAGTGGTAGTCCAGACTTATAGCAGCACAAGCTGCAAGCATTCTCTGTAATTCTGGAAGTGTAGTTAGCTGATTGCATATAAACTCAGTTTGGGACCCATCTAAATTTATATCCCCCACCATTGGTCCTGATGGTAAAGGCATTTCCCTGGGCGAAGGCAAGGGTCCGGATAGTAGAGTGGTCTTTGATGGAGGTCCTGAAGGAGACATCTCCTTCCAAGTCAGTGTCGCACAAGTTCAGTGAGCTGTGACCTGTAGATGTCTTTAGACCATTAAAGGCTCCGCACATTTTTATCCCAGAAGTAGCCTCATCCAGGCAGTCCATGGGGTCATCAGACTGCAGCTTGGGTCGCTTGGCTTCAATGTAGTCACATCCCATGAGGGCAGCGTTGCATTTCTTAGAGATCTCCCGCAATATTTCATCTACCTGATTGCATTCCTGATCGTTGTTCTGCTGGAAAAACTCCTCCAGATTTCTTTTAACTGGTGGTCTTGTCAGGACGCCATCAGAGGAGAGCTTGGAAGCGGCTCTAGAACGGTGACTCATTAGCTGCTGGAAGGCACACAACATAATTGACTTTATTACAAGAAATATTGTACTAAGATTAGCCCAACTTCGGCCAAAACTTTTTATCCTAGAGTAAAGAGGAGTTTTTACTGTTGCCTGTTACCCCATTGGAGATGTCTCCTCACTTTTTATCCCTGTGACATCAGGACAAGAAAGGAGGGGAATGGTGTTGCCCAATACATAGGGTTACAACCTTATGACTAAAATACAGATCTTATAATATTTTCCAAATAATAACATTGGTAACAAGTCACGTTTTACCAGCCAAGTGGCAACCCTACTAGGAAAGGTGGACTTTCTTGTTCTCTGATCCCAGTCAATGAAACAGGAAGTGATGGAAAGGCTCACTAAGGCTTCATTCATAAGAGAAGCAAGGTGGTTGTAAAAACAGGCAGTTGATCTGTGTTTTTTCCATCCCCTAATCAGCTGCCTAAAAGCTGGAATAGCAGCTGTGCAGGCTTGTACACATGCTGCAGCAAATTTTAAGCATTTCGGTAGGAGGTGCAGCTTGCCAAACGCAACAGTTGCAATCAATGGGGTCGCACCTCAACTGCATGCCAACCACTTGGCATATGGTTGTGTCATATTATTTCAGTGCAATATTCCCAATGGAATAAGTAAAAATACAGGCATGTAGGAGGAAGCAGTATTGTTTCCTAAATGTCTGAATGTTGTAACCCTTCCCTGCTCCCTCATCTAATACAAACAAAAAAAGTTTACATGTACTGACTTTTTACATTCAAAAGATAAAATCTAAATTAGAAAACAAAAAATGGAAAATCTATAGTAAAAGATGACCAGGTCTTTACTGCAAAGTAATTGCCTAAAGGAAACTCAGCACAGAAAAAAAAGAAGCTCTCTGCCACCCTCTGCCGGCAGAGCCGGAAATTGCAGCTCTGTTTTGATCTGCAGCTTACAAGTCATTGTCCTCTACTTACATCAATTACAGATGCCAAGTGTTTCGCCTGATCTGCTAGTTCTTTCAGCTGAACGTTTTTAACTTTGAGAGTATCGATCTCCTCCTGTTTCTCATTCAGTGTCACATGTAGCTAGAAAGGGAAAATACAATTAGTGAATTATGTTATCTGATTGCATCGGATATGATCAACAGATCTGATATGGATGGGGCATACCTGATTGTTCTGCACCAAGGCGTCCCCTAGTGCTTTATGGTTGTGGTCCGCCATATCCCTCCAGTACTGCTCTGTGATGGGAAAGGGCTGCACGTTGATGGGCATGAGCTGGCATGGCTGCGAGTGAATAGAGGGTGCCAGGCACTGATCAAACACGGACACCTCGCAGGGTGACAGGTTGAAGTCGGCTGTGCCCAGTCCAGGCTGCATATGGGAGGACTGATCTGCAAAGAAATGTCCACATTTAGTCATAATGCAGGGATAGAGAGATAGAGAGATAGGCGGACAGGAGGGAGAGAGATAGAGAAAGCGAGAGATGCAGATAGGCAGTCGGGCGATATAGAGATAGATAGATAGATAGATAGATAGATAGATAGATAGATAGAGAGAGAGAGAGAGAGAGAGAGAGAGAGGAAAGAGAGAGAGGAGAGAGAGAGAAGTCGATAGATAGATAGATAGATAGATAGATAGATAGATAGATAGATAGATAGATAGATAGATTCCAGAGAGAGATAGCTATAGAACGAGTGCAGTATAAAAAATGAGGATGCACTTTAAGGGAGCTATGAAGCATTCATATCAATTTCCAGATGTTAAGGTATCACTATGAATAATATAGGTCGGTGTCACAGATGGAATGATATGATATGAGGGTGAAGAATAATGATAGGTTACCAGTTATTTTATATATTTTACTATCTGTAACAAGTACATTTCTATTATAAAACTATCTCTGATCCCGATTGGTTTGCCCATGAAGAAAATCTTATCATCCGGTTTGCTATCAGTTGATACAGTGAAAGTTATCCATGTACATTGCAGTTAAGCTCGCACTGGTCGCACGGAGGTAGCGCTGCCTCTCGTGGTTCCGCAGTACTTCTAGAGCCTGCACTACATACAGATCAGCCGGACTCACCTGCAATGAAGTTGTCCACAGCATCTCTGAACTCCTGCAGGTCAAAGTCGGGTGTCTCTGGCAAGCAGTGGCCCTGTAACAGACAAGAACAGGTGTAAATACAGGCGGTGCAGGTAGGATACCTCTATATCTGCACCCACAGGCGGCCTCATACCTGCTGCTCATAGCCATAGGCTGGGTAGGAGAAGTGGCATGCTTGCACTGCCATGGCCAGCTGCAGAGAGAGGGTGGATGATGGTGGGCAGGATGCGATGGTTCAGGTGCAGGTCCCAGCAGCAGGTGTATAGGAGGAAGAACCTGTTAGGTATCCTTAACGTTTATTAAACCTGTCAGCCTGTGCTGCCCCTATACATCTTATGCCTGCAGCTGATTGGAGGGCATTGGGCCAATCACTGGCCTTACAAAGCCACATTCCTTCAAGAGTTCAGTGACAGATTAACCCAGACTGCATACTGCAGTGTACAGAGCCTCACCTCGGGGCAAACATGGTGTCTGGGGGGGTATAACATCTACACAATGTGAGATTAGGGAGCCTCCCTTCCATTGTACTCATACGTGGTCACCAAGAGCCTGTTCAGAGCAGCCATTGTCCCAGCTGGATTACCTGTGTACACATGACACCTCTACCCAGCCATTTCACCCATTACAAATACATCGTTGCAATGTGACAATACACCGACAATACACAAGTATATTGTATATGTTTTCTTTGGAGCAGCCATATGCAGCCTGCATCTCCAAATGATGAGGAACTACAAGTGCCAGCATACCTTTCTAGCAACTTAAAGGAATTAAGGAGACACAGGTGCTATGAGCACCCTTACAGTTCCCTTATTTGCATTATAAATGATTTATTACAATCACAAACCTGAATGCACTATGGGTTTGATTTACTAAATGAGTAGCGGTTGCTCACTTTGCATAAGCAGAGACTGTTCATTCAGCAAAGTGAATGTTAGTGAATGAGGTGAAGCTGTGATGACCTTAATAAATACCCAATCATGGTGGAGAAAATTGAACAAAAATGTTCAGCTTGCGATTGGGTATTCAACTATCATCAAAACGCTTCAGTTTATTCACTAACATTCACTTTGCTAGCTGAACAGCCTCCTCTCATAGGAAATCAGCTCCATTTATCAAAGAGCTACCCAGTAATGACATTGCAGATTTGGACTGATGGTGGAAACTTTTGA